TATTTATCTTTTATCTTTAGTTAGTCTGTTATTATTTCTTATTTGTATTTTGGGTGTTAGAAAAGAAGTGTCTTGTTTCTCAACACCAAGAAAGGGGGTGAATTGGTGATCTATAAAATGAATTGCTTTTTAAGACTTTTCGCAAACTTTGAATGATCTTTAATGTTTCTTGGGATCTAAGCAATAAGTGCATGCAATAAAAGTAAGAGAGATAAGGAAAGAAATACAAACGGAGAATTTATACTGGTTCGACCTTAATTCCTACATCCAAGTTTCCTTCCATCAACCTTAATTGAAGGCAAACACTTTAACATATAATGATTTGAGTTTTTACACCAAAGTTTTTATAGAGAACTCTCTCAAAATGTAAACACCTCTCCCACTCAACAATCAAATATAGAAAGATAACACCTACACAAAGAACCACACGTTTTTTACTTAGAACCCTTTGAGACACCTATAATACTAAGAACGCCTCGCTCTTCTTCCTCGGCCGCTCGCACAGTGAACAACATAATCCAAGATTGCAGAAAACGAGTCAATCAGTCAGAATACACCTTACTCGTGCAAATAGTTTGATCACAGTGAAAATCCAATCAGTTCTTCAAGAAACCTTTAAGATAATCAACTTCTTTGAATCTGTTTCTTGGAGCGTCTCAGCACACCTGTAATTCTTTTCTCAAAATCACAAAGATCAAATATGAAATTTTTGAAATTATCAAAAGTCTTTTGATTTGTGTGTAGTACGTCAATATATAGTATTCTCATGACAGACGCAATTCAATCGATTACATTAGTAATGTAATCAGTTACATTAGTAACAAATGTAATAGAATTACAACTAACACAGTTCTAATTAAATTCACAATTAATGTAATCGATTTGCAAAAAATGTTATTCAACATATTTAAAAATATGACCGTTAATTCAGTTATGACTTAGCTCTGAAAAACAATTTTCAAATTATAACAGCCTTAATTGATTACATAACTAGTGTAATCGATTAAGCAACTACCCTAAAACAAAGTTTTATGAAAACTTTTTCTCTACAAACTCATCACAACACATTTCGAAAAGATGTTTGCAAGACACGATTTTAAATCCGATTTTTACACTTAAATACTTCAATCGTTAAACTTGTTGTTTCCGTCGCACAGTTTAAAACATAATGGTATTTGATGACTTAATTGATTACAACATCACTGTAATTGATTTCATCATATAAAGTTTGTTTTGTGCTTGTGGTTTTATTCACATTCAAACATTTAGTAGTAGCATATAGTAAGATATAAACCAATCATGATCGTAGTAGTAATGCAGACCAATTAAACACGTCATCTATGTATTATCATCAAAACATTATACATATTAACATATGAATCAAATCACAATACACATTTCTGTTGTGTCATGAGAACAAGTATGTGTTGTTACAATCAATGTGTTGTCATCATAAAAAAACGAACACATCAGGGATTAGGTTCAACACTCATATTGTTCCCTCTATCAACATTGGGCTTAGCCCATATTTCTTCTATTATAAATAGAGGACCCTATGTATATATTCAACACAAGGGAGATTAATCTCATACATAATTTTCACTATATTCAACATGGTATCTAAAGCCTAAGGTTCTTTTGAGGAAAAATTTTCTAGTGCCTCTACCACTACAACCCCTACTGTCTGCAACGGTGCTACTTATTGTTTGTCAGCGTCACTAACATCTATCGCTGCCACTACCAGAGTGTGAAAGTTTTTTCAAACCGCGATCACAATGGTTTTTGGTGTCTCGCTCAGCACACCACCATGCTCTTGGCTCCTACGCGCTCTTAACGCCTTTTTGAAATTATGGATTTGCTCCCTTTTTTTGTCGTGCATGGTGGCTGTCTAGTAGTAATTCAAAGCATCGAGGTCGCTCGTTTTTCGTTTTCAGTTCATCGTGTGTTGTTGCACGTCCCGTCTCCTCTCAGGCAGCTATTCAGAGCATGAGGTTGCTCTTTTTCCTTTTTCAAGTGTCTTTATTGGAGAATCTTGGATTTTTATAGTTTCTCTCTCATGTTCATCCATGGCTTCTTCCGTTGTTGTCTCTTCTGACTCTGTTGTTTTTCTTGTCTTAACCCTAACCACTGACTTTAACCGCTCTCCATACTACTGGGTTGCTATCTTTTTTTCATGGAAAGATGATTTTTGTTATTTATTTTATAGTTGTGGTTGGCTCTCCAACAATTACCTCTTTATCCACTGGTCGTATTTCTCAACGACGATTTGTAAGAAGAGATTTATATGGAGTAAACCTCCCAAATTTGTTGCACATGGGAAGTCTTTTGGGTTGGTATTTTTTCTTCTATGTCATCTTACAAATCATTAGCAATTTGGTGTCACTCGAGGGCCGAAGCAGATATTTTCACTAAATCTTTATAGTAACAAGCTTGGTACATACAGATTTGTATGCACCAGCTTGAGGGGTAGTGTTAGGTATATTATCTTTATTTTATGTTTATCTTTTATCTTTAATTAGTTTGTTATTATTTCCTATTTGTATTTTGGGTTTAGCCCATATTTCTTCTATTATAAATAGAGGACCATGTGTGTATATTCAACACAAGGGAGATTAATCACATACATAATTTTTAATAATATCAACAAAACCCATATGAGAACTTCCAAAAGTACCCAAACTCAAATTACACTTCTAACTACTAAACCCTGCAAACTAAAATCATGGAAAATTCTATACAACTAAACAAACATTCACTCCAACATCTCAATTTACTTCTTCCACATTTTTGTTTAAGTTTTCATTAGTTAAACCTAGATGGTGAACAAAATGTGCTAAGGAACTCACCTTATCATTCTATTATCCCTTCCACACCAGATTTTACTTATTTAAAGGTCTAGACAAGTCATAATAGGTCTAATAATACACTCTCAACTCCCTAAAACGGTTCACAACCCTTTCCTCAAAATCTCACTACTCAAAACCCCACTTTTACACTAAAAACACTATAAAACTTCCCCAACGAATTACCCCTTTTGTTTCATATCAGATTTTTATCAGAGAACACCTCTAACAAGTCTCAAATGACCACCTAACAGTCCTAAACCAATTTATTTCACATTCCAACACCTATCTCCAAAACTCACCTATCAAAACCCCCCTTTTTAGGATTAAACTCCAAGAATTTGACCGCTAATCACCCTAACAATTTGAATTCAGTTTTCAAACACCAAAACAACTTCATCATGCATAATCATAACAATATCAAGTATCACAATCACATCATTACAAATATACCAACATCATATTATCCTTAATTCATCATTTAAACAAAACTAGTACTAAAACTATCATCACAATTTCATCTAAATTATTTGATCATACATAGAGATACTAATTTTAAACCACAAAAATAATTTAAAACAAGGTCTAGCTTATCTTACCTCACAATAAACTGTCTAACTCTAAAAACATCCCACCCATTGCTTGAAATGCAAGAAAATTTCTAGGCTAACCTATGAAACATCAAATTGGAAGCGGACAGGGTCCTTAAAACTCTAGATTAACCAAGAATGAGTAGGAGAAGCATGATCACACATGCAACGACCCTTACTTCATCTGAAAACATATTAGGAATGAGAGAAGAAAAGGAGTCAAAACTTTCTTGCTCTATAACAGAAATTGATTGGCTAGAAATGTAGACCCGTCGCCGTGATCGATTAGGTACATCCTCATCGTCAAAGAGATGACTCAGGAGTTAAAACTCTTTGAGAGAAGGTAGAGAATTCTAGAAAAGTGGTTTCTAGAGAGATAATATATTTTAAAATAATGAAACTCGTTAATAACACAACTATTTATAAATAAACCATTTAATAATAAAATAACCGAGTCACACTATTTTTAAACTACCACCACTTCTAAAAATACCATTTTCTGGGGTTTTAAAAAAAATCATAATAAACTTACTAAAGAAAAATAATAGTAATTATTACTAGGGTTAAATATGTTTTTAGTCCCTAAACTATTGGTCGTTTCTGGTTTTCGTCCCTCTTTCAAAGTAAGGTACAATTTGGTCCGCATTCTTTTCGAAAACGTTCGTTTTAGTTCTCGAAAACTAACACCGTTTAAAAATTTGGTCCTCATTTAGCAACAAAATGAGGACTAAAACCAAAGTTCTGAGGACTAAAACGAACATTTCGAAAAGAATGAGGACCAAATTGTACCTTACTTTGAAAGAGGGACGAAAACCAGAAACGACCAATAGTTTAGGGACTAAAAACATATTTAACCCTTATTACTATTATTATTATAGTATATAAAAAATATTATTTTTTTACACTTTGATAAGTTAAAACATCTAATAATTTAATTTTCAATTTATAAAATCAAATAACCTAATTAGTCAATGTCAAGTCCAACATCAGACATTTTTAAAACTGAAAATTGAACAACATATAATTAAAAATTAAGGTATAAAAATTATGTAAAAGTAATCAGGGACTAAAATTAAGAATTTATAAATATATAGAAATCAAAATAAAGGGACCAAAACGACATATTTTAGAAAATTTTGAATTTAAAATTATAATTAAACCTGTAAGTTAATACCAATATGTTACAATTCTGGTTCCAGTTTTATATTAAGATTGATTACATCAAATTTAAACATTTAGGAAACCAGTTTACATTTACAATAAATGGATAACCATTTTGTAACAATAATAAATTTAAATCAACATACAATATTCTAATAAGTAATCAAACAAATTGAATAAGTAATACTGGTTATGAATATTTTTAAACAACTAAATTGAAAAACAAAATGTGCATAATCATTTTAAAGAATATCAAGATAAGAGGAAAAAGATGTGGTGTTGGGGTTAGTTTGATCCACTTGTTTGCAAGTTAGGTAAGTGTCAAAAAGAAGAATGGTTGGTAGTTACAAAATCTTTAGGCAAACTAACTTTTACATGTCCCATTCACACTGTTCCACTATACACTACTTGCAATTCATCCTTCCTTTCTTTTGGAGGTAGTGCACACAACACAAGCATGAACTCAGAGTCAGGTTACCAACCACTTCTAGTTGGTCTTCATTCACACTCCCAGATACCAGTTTTGTCATCAGACACCATTGAAGAGTTCTTGAAACAAAGGTCCATTGAGTTGAGATGGTGGCCACAACTTGTTGCTTGGGAGTCAAGGCTCATATGGCTATTGTCATGGGCCTCCATTCTTGTCTCCATTTTCAACTACATGCTAAGCTTTGTCACCTTGATGTTCACTGGCCAATTGGGGTCTCTTGAGCTAGCTGGGGCATCCATGGCCATTGTTGGAATTCAGGGTCTTGCTTATGGGATTATGGTATGTTTGTTTTGCTTTATATCCTCTCAAACTTTTACCTAACATGTCATTTTGAGTGACCTTGTTCTCTATATTTGTAATAATTATTCAATATTTTTTCTCTATTTTTTACTCAAGGTGTTCTCTATATTTTTAAAAAGATTTAGATCCACGTTAACGTTGATTAGAAGACGATCATGTGTTTATTGTCCAATTCCAGATAAAAAGAGAGAGGAATGATATCAATATTAATTTAGCAAAAGAGATTACATTTAATCGAAAATATCAAATTGAGTCTTTTTTAAAAAAATATAAGAATAAGTCAAAAATAAATTGAAGAAACATTGCTACAGATTTGGTGATTTCTTAACACTGTTATATGCTCAAATTTGGTGATTTCTTTGGTATGGAACTTGAGTTTAGTTTTGTATATTGAATCTGTGAAAGTGGTTGTTGAAATGTCCTTAAACAGTTGGGGATGGCAAGTGCAGTGCAAACAGTGTGTGGAGAAGCATACGGGGCAAGAAATTACTCAGCAATGGGCATCATATTGCAAAGAGCAATCATCTTACACTTGGGGGCTGCAGTGATTCTCACATTTCTGTATTGGTTTTCAGGGTCATTTCTGAAAGCCATAGGTCAGTCAGAGAGCATAGCAGAGAAAGGTCAAGTTTTTTCACGCGGAATCATTCTTCAACTCTATGCATTTGCAGTATCCTGCCCTATGCAGAGGTTCCTCCAAGCACAGAACATTGTGAACCCTCTTGCATTCATCTCACTTGGGGTCTTCCTTCTGCATGTCCTTCTCACTTGGTTGGTTCTCTTTGTATTCGACTATGGACTTGTTGGAGCTGCTCTTACTCTCAGCTTCTCATGGTGGTTTCTTGTCTTGTTGAATGGTTTATACATTATTCTTAGCCCAAGATGTAACCAAACTTGGGGTGGCCTCACTGTCAAAGCTTTCAAAGGAATTTGGCCTTATTTCAAACTGACAGCTGCTTATGCTTGGATGCTGTGGTATAGATCAGAAATCCACTTAATTCTCACCCTCTTGGCCACACAAATATTTCTTTTAAAGCGCATCTCTTGGGGTTTGTTTGATAGGCAAAAAATGTTCTAAATTTAGTAGTAATTAGAAAAAGTACAAAACTTAGATCTAGTTTTTTAATTACTTTTTGGTTACATACATTCTAATGCAGTTTGGAGACATGGTATAATCAAGGACTGATACTTTTATCTGGGTTGATCTCCCATCCCACAGTCTCAGTGGACACTATTTCTATTTGGTATGCTTATTATGGCAACATCCTTTTTATGGGTATACCCAATTCATGTTCATCTTATCTAACCATAATTTTCATGTCAATGGATTCTCATTCAGTATGAATTACTTAAACTGGGACCTGCAATTTATGTTGGGTCTAAGTGCTGCAACCAGGTTAGTGTAAGAAAAATGCTCTCATTTAACTCGAGTAACTTAAATGGTGTTAATGAGAAGTTGGGTGATGTAGTGTCAGAATCAGCAATGAATTAGAGGCAGCTCATCCAAGAGTAGCAAGATTTTCTGTCATTGTAGTGAATGGAATCAGCATTGTTATCAGTGTAGTTTTCTCTGCAATTATTTTGACATGCCAGGAGCCTTTGAGCAAGCTTTTCACTTCTGACTCTGAAGTCATTGAGGAAGTTTCTAGCTTGACTCCACTGCTTGCTATCTCAGTTTTCTTAAATTTCATTCAACCCATACTGTCAGGTAACACAATCTACTCCCACTAAACTTTGAAAAATGAGTTAATTCTTGCTAAAAAAATTTATTAATATCATGTAAGGCAACAAAAGGTTTGTACACAATTTTACTTCTGATTCTTCCATTTTTGTAATTTTATTTGAAAAAATTCAGGAGTTGCAATTGGATGTGGATGGCAGGCTGTTGTGGCATATGTAAATTTGGCTTCTTTCTATGTCATTGGGCTCACTGTTGGGTGTGTTCTTGGCTTTCAAACTACTCTGGGAGTAGCTGTAAGTTCAAAACATTTCTGATAGACATCTGAATAAATTTCTTCATAAATATTTCTAAACAACAAAAATAGTAAAAGATAAATTCCTTCAAAGTTAACTTATTTCTTATGTTTTGCATGAATATTTGTAGTATTTGGGTTTGTTACAGGGTATCTGGTGGGGGATGATCTTCGGAGTTTTAGTACAAACAGCAACTCTAACAATTCTGACTGCTAGAACAAATTGGGATGTAGAGGTAACGAAAATTAAAATACTTACTGTTACAGAAACTGTTTGTTACATGCAGAGTAAAGCAATTTACTCCACAATTGTAGGTTGAAAAAACTCTTGCTCGCATCAAAAGATCAGCAGAAGATGAGACCCTAGATCTCTTGATTACGAACATTTGACATTTTCTTTTTTTCATTTCCTTAAAGCTTAAAATTAAGTTGTTTAGCGGCACAACAATCTTGTTTTGGGCCATGGGAATATCATTTGATTCGTAGCTATATTTAGTATCGGCTCACATAATTTTGGTGGTCAAAGAACTGAAACAACTTTCACTCACCGTTAATTATTGACGAAAATTCCAAAAATGTCACGTGTGCACAAAAAGAGAGGGCAATTTAAAAATTGAAAATTCACGACATTGAAACTTGGAAGTATTAATAATTCGTTTAAGCCCAAGTGAAAAGTTTTATAACTCAATAATGATCAGAAACTGCTTCCTGCATGTGAAATTTGTGAAAACTTCTTATTCTATTATTATCCTGTCTGTTTCCGAGCCAACATTTTACACAGCTGGGAAATGTCTGAGTGTCGTAAGTTCCACATGAGGAAGATATTTAAACTATAAATTATTGCATCAAACAACAATCACGTGTTGCCAAGTTGTTTGAAGATTTGGTTAAAAATCATATTTAAAAGACGAGAGAAAACACGAATGGGCATATTTTTATCATGCATGCAAAGCCTCTTAGGTACACAATATACAATATACATATAACCAGTTCATAACAAACATTGACTATGGATATGCAACATAAAAGGTGACTTCAAAAGACTAGAGAATATAACTAAAGCACCACTATATATAGTGGTAGACGGTAGTGAAGAAGAAAACAGATTCTGGTTGTGTCCACTAATTATGACGCAAAGAAGATTTGATTACATACGTGATATCTGAAGAGGGATAGACAATGAAGCCTCTTCTCCCATCACTGGCTGGAACAAATCAAGCTCTCCATAGCGCTCCAGAACCCGCATTCGGCAATCTTCTGCTGCCATCATTCCCGTGGAGAATGCCCCATGGACGGAACCTGGATAACTCATACTTGTTGCTTCCCCAGCAAAGAACAAATTATCCACTGGGACTCGTAGCCTCTCAAACAGTTCATGTGATTTTCCTACAGCATCATAGCTATAGGAACCTAGTGAATTTATATCTGAGCCCCACCGAGACACAAGATACTGATTCTGCAGAGTGACATCAAATTACCAATTAAAATACACACAATACATTGCATCTCGATCACATGTTGAATGACTAAAATCATACACTTGTAAAGATTAAAAAGTGGAAGGACAGATAGACTATGCTTTATGTAGCTTAGACAGTGTATTTACATATTGAAGCATTGGTTTCTTTTATATTGCTGACTAAAAGTGAAACTAGTAACAGATAAAATTAATATGGGTACCGGTGAAGAAGCATCTGGAAGAATCCTCTGGAGCTGCATGAATGCGAAGTTGGCAGCTGCTTCATCAGACATCTTTTCGATGTCTTTGGCAAGCCGCCCAGAAGGCATGTAAACAAGGACAGGATGACCTGCGGCTTTGTGGAGATTAAGGAAGTAGCTGCATCCATAAGATGTATCTGCAACTACTCCCAAGAATTCCACATTAGGCCAAAACACATTTTCGAAGTGTAAGATGATTTTGTTCTCAACTCCAATTCCAAGATCAGCAATGGCAGCTTCCTTCCAGTCTGGGAGTTTTGGCTCAAACACTATTCTCTTTGCTTTAAGCACCCCAAGTGGAACAGCAATGATGGCAGCATCAGCAAAAAATGTTTTACCATTTTCCACTGTTACCTTTACTCCGTTATATCGCCTAATTACTTTTGTGACCCTGAAAAAGGGGCGTCACCATGGCCAGAGGATTAATTACACAAAAATAGTACATGGTAATTTGAAATAATAACTAAAAGTATTATCTACCTGTGCCCCAAGCGAATATCAAGACCCTTGGCTAAGGTATTTATAACAGGCAAGTAGCCCCGGACCATTAGACCATGTCCACCAGGGAGAAGCACCTCCTGTAAGTACAGGACAGAGTAATTACGAGGAAAATAAATAAATTACGTGTTAGATAAAAGGCTTCATGTAAGATGCTATATATAATTAGGGTAATAAAGTTGCGTGTTTGTAATATGAATTCTTTTTTAACAAACTTTCTGGTAGGCTGGTATGTATTTGTAATATGGATTCTTTTTTAACAAACTTTATGGTAGGCTGGTATAAATTGCGTAGCAATTTTGAACCCTACATCCCCGTAAAGGTTGAGACCACCTTTTAACAACCATGCAATATGATGGTATATTCAGATGATAGAGGAATCCTACACATCCGACTCCAACCACTTTAACAAAAAAGTACCACTAATTCGTAGTGGAGGAAGAACGTTATAATGATTGTGTTATATATTAAATTGACACCTGTTTAAATCTTAGAGAGCCATCATTCATTTAATTGTATATGATGCAATTTGCCTTAAGATGACTTATTAAGGTACAAAAAGGGTTTCAATCAGATACATACTCCTATATGTAGATCAGGAAACACATTTTCATGATTATCGGTCATAGAAAGGCTGCATGTTGAAGACTCATGCATGCACCTGGCTATGAGACGACTTTACAAACTATTTCTTTCACTACCTGTATGTAAGACCAAAGAGAATAGATCATTCAGTGCGTAAATTGGGGTGGGTGGAAGGGTGGGGGATTTGGAACTAGACCACTAGTACAAACAAAATTTTCAGCTTGATTTGTTGAAATTACCTGATCCCATTCTTTTAGTGAGATAGTATCAGAATCTGCAGCAAACCAACCCTCCATTCTGCACAAATACCACTGAAGCACCTTATGAGCAAGGCCCTCCAACCTGGTTTCAAGTGATGAAGAAATGTTATCAATTACTAGGCCTAAAAGAGTAATAATGGGGCTAAAGAAATTATTTCTTATGTCCATAATAACCTTAGTTCAGGCTTCCTATCCAAAACAATTGAAAGACCACGAAACACGGACATGTCTTCATTGAATTCATCTCTTATTTTATTTGTCTGCATTTAGTCATGAAATGATCGTTTAGAAAGGCAATTTATGCCTAAAAAATAGCTTCCAACTATGAAGATAGAGCTTATTAGGTAAAACATAAGTAGGAAAATTAATAAACAAAAAGAATTACCTCCTCTAAAATTGTCTCAAATATTCCACCAACTTTTGTTACCAACTCTTGGGGAACCTGATTCCCATCCGTATCAAAAAGTGCATAGCTGCAAGAATGATGAATTTCAAATTTCAATTAAAAAAAAGAAGAGAAAAGTAGTCTATAGTAATTTCCACCGTGCAGAAAGACCAGAAAATATATTAAAATAAGTTGCCAAAAATTATTTGAAATCAATGATCATGTACTATGCAAGTATGACAGAATTAGCTATATAATAGTAATAAATCATGAAAATCTATATACTTACCTCTCCAAATCATGGTCATAAAGTACGGAGTTATCTCCACTCGTACGATAAAGGGGTAGCCCCAGCCTCGCAATGACCGAAGCCAGTGGGTTTTCCTTGGAAACTCCATGCAACCTGAAAAATGAGTACCTCTTATTACTAAACAGGGAAAGTAATGGACAAATTCTGCATTCTCATAAAAACATAACCATCATAAATTTATCAGAAAATAAGCCTCACCATGAGGCTCCCAGGTCAACAGGAAAACCAAATGTGTAATCAGTGTGAATTCGGCCACCAATTCTTTCCCTTGACTCTAAGAGAACAACCTAACAATTTTTTTTTTTAAAAAAAAAAAAACACGATTTAGTCCTTCAACTCTGAAAATGCATATTAATAATTTAACTATTGACTACAAAAACATGAAGCAAGTTCAAGTTTCAACTACAAGCAACACAAATACGCAATCCTTAGCTTAAAAGTTAAATTATTTTGCCACTTCATGATTCGCATTATTCGCACAAACACATGAAATTCTCAGGCAACAGGTTCATCAAAATATAAGAGAAAATGTGGCCCCAATTCACATGCTGCGTGCGTGCGTTTCGTGAAAATTGATTCACCCATATATGTAGGTACAAAACCAGTCCAGTTCTGAACTACCAAGTGTCACCCAGGACCCTTCCCCGGAACCATTACAAGCTTCCATTCAACAAAGCTCATAATGATGTAGGAAATCATAATGATGGATTGACCCACCAATTTCTTTCACTGAAATATAATGCAACCTACTTCAAACTACAGGAAAATGTCGAACAACCATCCACTATGCCTAGAATAACTCTGTTCATGGACTTAACGAAATTCAGATACAGTTCTTCAAATACTTTGGGTTGTTGCCCAATAATAGATTAAACTAGTATACACTTGCATTGAAGGTTAACATAGATTAGCAGATTTAAAACCCTTATTGAAATTGGAGATCTGTCCCAAAAGTACCTACAAAACTGCTTCAATTTTTGTCCTATAAAGTACTGTTTAACATTAGAGTAGGAAATACAAGTTTAACAAATATTATTAAAAATCCATATAATTAAACTGGCGCACAGTTGTTACCTGAAATGAAGCATCATGGAGTGCACGTGCAGCAGCAATCCCAGCCATGCCACCACCAACAATAATAACAGATGGTGACCTCCCCTCCTGCTTGCTGTTTCCATAGCAAAGAGCTACAAGAAAAAGGGAAAAAGAAAGAAAATATGATCGAACGTTCCATAAGTTAATTCAACTTTGAAATTATTCCCTCAACTTTTAATATACCAGAGTGATCATGAGTGTATATATATCAATTCAAATAACTTTTTCTCTCTTTAAAGAGACTCTTCCCATTATTTATCTTATCTTACAATTCTCTTTATCTTCATGCGAAGACTTCTTTTCGCATCCCATCTCACTTAAGTGAGATTTGGTGTATACATTTGATACACACAAAACAATAACAATAAATATAAAAATAATTTAATTGTCTCGTGCATAATTGTGAGGTCAAACTAATGTATTCTGCAAAAACATTATTATTAAACTAAAAACAATTAAAATACAATAAAATAGTAAAATTAAATCACTTTTCTATAATTTAAAGTATAATATATAAAAATAATTGGGATATGCATCATGTGACTCTAAAAATATTTATCAAAAAAATTAATAATTTGTTAGCTCAAAGAATAGAAATTAAAATAATATGCATAAAATTTATAATAGATTAAAACAATATATATATATATATATATATATATATAAGATTAAAATAGATTATTTTTAAATACACGACAAAAAAAATGGTTGGACTACAAAAGTTTAATTTTTGACTATGCAATTTGAAGGAAAATAATAAAATTTGGAAACATATCCTACCAAAATACCTACTGTTCCTGCCTTCTTTCTCATGGTGAAAATTATCCTCTAGTA